TGTGTGCTCCGTCCACTTGATTCAAAACCCCGGGAGAACATCTGAATAGGGACAAATGGGTGTGTGCTCCGTCCACTTGATTCAAAACCCTGGGGGAACATCTGAATAGGGACAAGTGGGTGTGTGCTCTGTCCACTTGATTCAAAACCCCGGGGGAACATCTGAATAGGGACAAATGGGTGTGTGCTCCGTCCACTTGATTCAAAATCCTGGGGGAGGCAATTCCACGCAGTTTTGAGCTCTAGTTGAGTATTTGCATTTGAACCCAGAACTTTTGGGTTTTGATCTAACTGAAAAGTTAATATCAAAACTGACAGAAGATAGGGGCACCTGGGTGGCTCAGTTGGTTAAGCGTCTCGATTGGGCTCAGGTCATGATCCTGGCTCAGGTCATGATCCCTCCCGGGGTCATGGCCAGGTGTATGCTCAGTGGGGAGCCTGCTTCTCCTTCTCCTCCCTCTGCCCCTCCCACCCCCCACTTGTGCTCACCCACTCGCCCACTCGCTGGCTCACTGTCGCTCTCTCTCAAAATCTTAAAAATAAAATCTTAAAAAAAGAAAAAAACAGAACACAAAGTCACCAAAAGTAGCCGTTAAAACTAAGCTAGTAGGGGCGCCTGGGTGGCTCAGTTGTTAAGCGTCTGCCTTGGGCTCAGGTCATGGTCCCAGGGTCCTGGGATCGAGCCCCGCATCGGGCTCCCTGCTCAGCAGGGAGCCTGCTTCTCCCACTCCCACTCCCCCTGCTTGTGTTCCTGCTCTCTCTCTGTGTCAAATAAATAAATAAAATCTTAAAAAAACCAAAAACCAAAAACTAAGCTAGTAAAACAAATAAGTAGTGGCAGGAAACCAGAGAGTTAATCAGTGAGATGGCATGAGGCCATATGGCAATAGAGTCTTTAAAAAATATTTTGTTTTGTTTTTAAATTAGAGATCAGTTATGATTCCATTTCCCATAAAGTTTTGCTGACATTCTGCAGGAAACCTTGTGTGTGTGTGTCTTTATATATGCAGACACACACACATATATATATATACACACACACACACACACGCTTATGTATGTGTAGAAAAAAAGTCACTACTAAATAAGATGAGTAAGAAGGAGGGTCAACTCTAATATCATCTCTGAGAATTAAGTACTTAAAATGGGAATTTAAGTGGTAAGTATTCCAAATTGTGAATTGGCCACCACATATTTAACTCACTGATTTATAGTAACAATACAGATGCTTGTGATGTCCCTGAGATCCTCATTCCATAGGTGGGACCCTAATGTCTGTACTTTTCCGAAGCCCTGTAGTCAGGTTAGGAACTATTAATAAGGAGTCCTATGTGCCACACAGATGCTTAATGCTTACATAGTTTCACAGCCAAGGAAATAAGAACCAGATGGAAGCCGCAGGGAGGGGGCAGTGGGGAATCAACTGGGTAATGGTTTTCTTTTGTGGTGATGAGATATTTTGGAACCAGATAGAGGTGTGAAGGTGCATGTGTGAAGTGCCACTGGATTGTTCACCAAAATGGCTTATTTTATAGGATGTGAATTTCACCACTGTGAACAACTCCAAAAGTTTATTTGAACACTATCTTTGTATACTGTGTATTGGAAAAATAAATTACTGCTGTTTAGATTGACTGTCTACCTTCTGAATATTATATTCTCTTAAGACTTTTCTCTTAAATTAAGCACATTTTTTGTTGTTTATAAGATGCAGCTTATCAGTACTACCTTTTCGAAGCTGCTTAGTAATATTTTCTCCTTAATTAAAACACCATCACTCCTTTATGATCACATACAGCCTCAGGTGGTGGCAGAAAGAACACTGTATTTGGAATTAGAACCCTTGGGTTGGAGGCCCAATTCTGCCCCATCAGCTGTGTGGCCTTGGGCAAGGCACCTTGCTGAGACTCCATTTCCTAGTCTGTTTTTCTGTCCTCCTATCCCAAACTTGTGGGGGGATCCACGGAAATCATTTGTATCAGACACTCTTCTAATGGCAAATTATAGTGCTTCCACAGGTCACTGTTACGTAGTTATTGCCTTGTTTTTTTTAACTTGAATTCAGGAGAATCCAAAAGTAGATTAAGGAAGGTACAAGCGGACAGTTAATGAATTACTGGATTTAGTATTAATGTGTTTTAACGGTCTATATAACTTATAGTATTAATCATTATATTATGAATCTTATAAGGCTAAGAATTAGTTATATACAGATATTATTAAATGTTTGCAAGGATGATAGGGAGCTGAGATGATTTTTGGGGATCAGGGTTTGTTCTTGGTCCTGAAACACATAAAGCAAATGAAGATTTTTCAGGTTCCATGTTCATAGAGGTTCCATACTCACTTGTAACCAGTCTGAATTCAGTTAATGTCTGTAAATGAGAATAGCCACTGGTAGATGTATTTAGAATCTCCTCTGGGTTCCTTGTGTTTTTTCTTAGTTTAAACAAGCCCCTGGGCCTTGTTGCAAACTGACATTTTTGGCAATAATGACTTGTGGCAGGCCTTTCTTGAGAAATGTAGTCTTGAGAAACTCCTGAAACATGCAGAGTAAAAACCCTGGGCGTATTGCTCACCAGTAATGACTATAATAAATTAGAAATTTTATTTCAAACCACAATAATTATGGCTGATAGTATATATGCAAATGTTTGTTAATTTGCATGTTTCTCCTGTTAGCGGGCAGAGGCCAGATTTACCAACTGAAAATGCATAAAACTGCAGAATGTGTGAGCACCTTTTAGGTGAAAGGAAGATGGAAGACGACAATTGTTGAGTGTCTGTTTTTGTGCTAGTTTAAAAGTGTATATTTAATCCCCACAATAGGGCGCCTGGGTGGCTCAGTCCTTAGGCGTCTGCCTTCGGCTCAGGTCATGATCCCAGGGTCCCGGGATCGAGTCCCGCATCGGGCTGCCTGCTCAGGGGGAGTCTGCTTCTCCCTTTCCCACTCCCCCTGCTTGTGTTCCCTCTCTCACTGTGTCTCTCTCTGTCAAAAAAGAAAAAAAAATCTTAAAAAAAAAATCCCCACAATAGGAGTAAAAGCTAGGCATTTTATTTAGCTTAGCCAATAAAAGTATGGGCTCCACCCCTAATTGGTTGTGTTGGCTGCTTCAATGGTGATGATGTTGATGAAGAAAAAGCTTAGGGGTTAATAGGCACTTCCCCAGGAAGGATGCGGCGTGGCTCTGACCCCAGAGTCCTCCTCTTTCCTTTGTACCAAGCTGCTTCCCAGCTATTAATGGCATATGGATAAGAAGAGAAAACTAACATTTATAGAGTGTGAACTAGAAGTACATTTTGGTACTTTTAAGTAATTGTCATTTTACCTTCGTACACGGAGTTGCAACATTTTTTTTTGCTCTAGTGCGCCCGAGGGACTCACTAAGACAGTGGCAAACAAATGGCAAATATTTGTTGAGTGAAAATGAATGGATTTTAGATAAAATGCACTACCCAGAAAATAGCCTCCATTGTGCTCCACTAAATACATTCACCGTATCACCAGACCAGCATATTGCATTTACTTAAGGCCTGAATGAGATTTAAGGCAAGTGATAAAGTGAGGTTTGCTTTATGAAGCCAAGGCTCCCCTGGGGAATTGGGGTGGGGGTGGGGGGCGTTGTTCACCGATAGCATCTGATGGCACTCTTCGAATGGAACACAAGTTTAAAGAAGAAACTGCTTGTGCACGGAGTTACAACTTTGACATGCCTTCCTTTTGTGTCCAGGAAAAACCCTATCGGAGGCTATGTTTCTCTGTTCCAGGAGAAGGGACCGTGGTGAAGATGTCGGCCCTCAACTGGAAGCCCTTTGTGTACGGGGGGCTGGCCTCCATTACAGCAGAATGCGGTAAGGAGCCCAAGGGGCCGACTCAGGTCGCTTGCTTGCTGCTCGGGATGTCGGGATATCGATGAGAAGTTAGGGTCGCTATTTGGAGTTTGATGTGACTGTGGTTCGAGCACAGCATGTGAGAGCATGAAATGTTAATCTCAGATTTCAAAATTGCCCTCTTTTGGTATGTTTTTCCAACACAGAGTCATTTTGGCTGCCTAGCCGTTTAGAGTTCAAAGTTCAGTGTGGGGAAGGTGGAACCTGTTAGTCAAACAGAAGGTTTATCAGTCATTTTTAGATCACATCTGTCCCTGTGCTCCTTGTCCTTTCGCCCACTTTGCCCCTGTTAGCGCCTGGGGCCGTAGAGAGTTGGGAGGAGCTCCCAGGTCCTCCCCTGCCCATTAGCCATACCGTATTTGTGACTTCCTCCTCAGTGGAGTGCCACATCAGATCCCGGTTATCTTTGTCTATTTCCTGGCATAATTCACTCAACAAATCCTCATTGAGCAACTGCCGAGTGCCAGGTGCCGGGCTGGACACGTCGTGGGCTACCAGGGCTTGGTCACTGCTGTCCTGGGACAGGGGCTGCCCCTGAGGAGCCAGCAGGGCTGAGGGGTGAAGGCACAGGAACCACCCACCCACTTGGTTGCCCGTGCAGGTGGGTTCTCCCATTGCCACGGTGGATCAAGTGTGCTGAGAATGAGTGTTACATATTTGGGTGGACTCTCCGTGGGGCACTGGTAAACATTTTTAGCTGCGTGAACAGATTTACTTTTAGACTGCAGAACACAAAGTGAAACGCTCCTTTGGAAAATGAACTTCTCTCTCATTGTTCATATTGAACCTGATTTTAGCTTTCACAGATGCAAAAAACAGTAACATATTTTAAAATTTCCTGTTTGTGTAAATCATTCCGTGTACCTGTCTTTCACAGCAGTGCAGCTTCTGAGATCCTAGGTAGAGTAGGATGGGAACTACATAAAAATGTAAAGAAAGGAAAATAGGGGTCTTTTTAATGTTTTGGTTCCTAATTTTTTTTAAATAGAGAAAAGATTGCAAAGTATCTGCTATTTCTTAATTCCATTTCTTAGTTTACATTATAGTTAAAATGTTTCCTCGGTAATAGATCACCATGTATCCTTTATTTAGTGGAATTTCTTTTTATCAAGTGAAATATTTCTTTTTTTTTTTTTATATGATAATGGTGGTTTTACTTTTTTTTTTTTATTCTTATGTTAATCCCCATACATTACATCATTAGTTCTAGATGAAGTGTTCCATGATTCATTGTTTGTGCATAACACCCA